GTAGGGAAAAGGTCTTTCACCAAGAAGACAGTAAGGCAGTAGAACAGGTTAGTCAGAGAGGTTATGTCATTTCCAGCTTTGGAGATTTCACATCCCACCAGATAATGCCCTGAGTAGCATGATCTGACCTCATATCTGATTTTGTCTGGGAGCTGAAGATTGGACTAGAGCCCTTCAAGGTGATCTGTGTTCCTAGTGAAGGTTCATAACATGAAGTAAATCTCCTGAGATCACGCCAGAAATGCATCTAAGACACCAAGACAAGTTGTATGTTTTCACTTTCCTTTACTCTTTTATAAACAGAAAGAATAAAAATGACATAAGTAAACTCATTTTCAAGAGTGGAGATTTCCAGATGTCACCGTATGCTGAATATCCCAAGAACCCCCGGACACAGGAGTGGGGCAGAGAGACCATCGAGATGCAAGAGAACGGAAGCACCAAGAACCTGTTGCAGATGACAGATGTGTATTATTCGGTATCTATCCGTAGCTTAACTATTAACCCTTTGTGCCTGATACAGCAAAGGCATGTTTCTTTATTTTTGGAAGGACAGATCCCTTTTCTGCAAAATAAGAGAGCAAATAAATGGCTTCCGTAGAGAACAGGGCATTGGTAGTCCTATGAACTCTAGCTGTTACACGTGATGAATATCACAGAGAGATGTCATTAGGAAGAGTGCTAGGGGAATGTCTAGGAACATTTTGGTAGATGTCTAAAAAAGCCCAATCCTAGTGCAGAGAAGGAGAGTTAAAGGTTTTGAACAGGCTGCTAGGAATTCTGGTGGGTAGTTTTCTCCCTTCCATCCTCACTGATGATGCTGGAAGGTTGAGACCTCTGTCTGGGAAACTTCACCCCAAGATGGGAAGATGCTGGTCACTGAGGACCCCTCTTTTCTTCCACTCCTCCCACTCTCCTGGGTAGAGGCCCCTTCCTGCAGCAGGAAGGGTGCATAAGGAGCATCCCTCCAGCTCTGGAGGAACAAGTGGTAGGGAGGAAGTGGTGGAGGAGTAAAGGGCTGTGTAGGGCAGAGGAAGACACAAGCACAAGACCTGCTGTTGGTACATCTGCTAATGTCTGTATCCAGAGCTGTGATGCCATATCATCTGTCACTAATCTACAGCAACGTACTGGATGTACTTGAGGTGTGTGGGAGTTACGTGAATGAAGGTTGCAGGATTTCACCCAAATCACACATTCTGGACTCCTCCTTTCCAGAGTGGAAAGCAGTGAGCAATATTTTTTTTCTGGCTTGTATTTTTAAGTTTTCCAGTCAGCATGTTTATTGGTTTGCACATGAAGGGAAATAATCCTCCTTCCTACTTCCAGTAAGAATGAGAGATTTGGAAATTAAAATGCATTTCCTAAATATTTTTTAAGACTTTAATGATGCTGGCAACGAGAAAGGGGAGCTTTATAGCAAGGAGTAGGCAATGAGGGCTTTGCATGGAGCTGCTCCAGGTGGTGTGATGTTATTTAATGAGTGAAAGGGTTGTACAGTCTTGGTCTTAGACATCAAAGTTCCTCAGCTGAGTGTCCCCAGGAGATTTACTTAAGTAAGAGAAGGGAAGAGAAAGGAAGGTCAGATCAGTTTGTATTTGATGTATAATTCAAGTGCCTGTGTTGGGAGAGTAGGTACCTATGGTTAATGGGGAGAGAAGTGCTGCCAGGTAATACTCAAAGCAGGAGACTAACTTTGATTTTCTAGAAGTGTTTCCTTTGAGGGTGGCTCTGAGACAATATCCTTTTCGTGAGGGTTGTTTCAATGCCCAAGCTCATCAGCATGGTTCTCTTGGATTAAAAATTAACTGTATACTTAGACTGCACTTGGTGGAGTCAGGTAAACTTCAAGTCTGTTAATTGGCAAGATGTCGAAACTAGATTACATCAGAATAATCCCTTCAGGCAATGCATAAGTCCCATAGTAAAAATCATTCTAGGTTATAGAGATCATTAGCGATCCTGTTGTTCCTTCTAGCTACTGAAAAAAATGCTGGGAAAGGTGGTAAGGTTGTGCCTGAAGGAGGATTTGAGTGTGAAAATAAGACCCTTTTTATTTAATTTTTTTTGCTAATACAGCCAACTGGACTGAGAAATCCTGAACTGGAAAGAAATGGACTTTATCCTCCCTACACTGGTTTGCCTGGATCTCGACATTCATGCATCTACCCGGGACAATACAATCCATCCTTCATTAGTGATGAAACCAGAAGAAGAGACTACTTTTAGCGGGGAGTGGAGAGGGAGTGGAAGATTGACACAGTTTTGTGGCCCTTGATCCCCAGGTACAATCTGTCTCCTGGGCAGTTCAGCCCACATCAATCTTACTCTTCCCATTTAACAGGAAGGACTTTGAACTCCATGCCGAGCATTGCTGTCCTGAGGAACGGTTACACTTGCTCAGCAGCAGAGAGAAGGAGGAGGAGGAGGGAATGGCTGAAAGTGCACATCACTAAAAGACCCAGACGGAAGTTAACACATGTACTCCAGATTTGTTCTGTGCTGCTTCTTCACTCTTTACGCTACATGGCAAGCATGGATCAGTACAGGCAGATGAACTGTGCCCAGCACTCTGCATTGAATACAATTAGGGAGTGTTTTGTTTACAGATCTTGTTCACTGTTGACTGTGCTTGTCATCTTAGCCAACCTTCATGCAAAGATTCACTGTGAAACGGCTTTTGGTAGGGCAAGTTTGTCCACTCCTTTTTCCATTGCTGCATTGCTTTCTGCTTTGTACACAACAGGGAAGCCGGCTGGTTCTCTGGCCCTCACCTTACTGGTAGAAGTTCTGCAGATGGCTGGGTCCTTGCTGAAGCCTGGTGCCCAGCAACATTGGCTGAATTCATGGGCTGATTGTCTCCAAGGAGTACGGGAAAATTAGTCATACTGTTGCAGTTCTAACTGAAAAAAAACAAAACAGTTGATCCTATGAGCCAATTTGAAAGTTTCCTCTATATGGGGAAGAGCCCGAGTATGTTGCTTTGTCAATCAGCATTGTTCAGAAGTGATGCCACTACACGTCATCATAGCGCTTCCGTATAGAATCTTTTAGGGCTCTGTTTCCCTGCAGGGATTTAAACTCCTGTAGAAACAGCAATGTAATGTTAGATAGTCACTCACAGGGAAGAAAAACATGAGCTAGGAATTCAGCTTCCTTACAAGGAATGTGGGAAGGAGCAATAATGCTATAGCCCTGGCTGGGCAGGTGGAACGTGAATTTTGGGCACTGCAAGTGGGACAGAGTTTTCAAGCCTCCACAGCCCACCTTGACTTCAGTAGGAGCTGTGGAGGCTTTCAGTACATTGGAAAACAAGGCTCACTGCAGTCAGTTGCATTTAAAGGAGAGAAAACCATGATGTTTTCAATCCTAGCGAACAAAGTTCACCTATTTGAAGTGTTTTGCTTTCTTCCATCCCAGTTTCAAGTGATTCAGACTAGGCAGGTTTCCTCACTTAGATATGTTAATTCATATTAATCACCTCGGCAAAAGCTGATGAATGCAAGTTATTACATTTCTCACCAAAGATCAGCTTGAAAGCTCATGAACTGTATTCTGACCTGAGCTGGGTGTTGAGAGAGAGATCTTATAAATGAATTTATTTACTGCTTATCTTTACTGCAGTGTTAACCTGAGTCATCCAAACCCTGTCCAGATACAGGGTCCAGATACGGATCCTTCCCCTGAATGTGACTGTGCTTTTAATTCAAGGTGGCTGCTTGTATGAGGGTAACAAATAGCACAATTCCTTAGCCATTAACCCACCATCTCTGTAGCGCACACATAAGCTAATTTCACCGAGGGCCACATACCCTCTGATATTCCCTTCTCCCCTGCAGGGCTTGAATAGACACAGTGCCTACAAGTAAGTTCATACGTAGCTCAGCTCACTGAAGCACTAAGGACCATGGGATGCGTCTCCCAAAGTGCCTAACTCCAAGTGAGAATGGCAGTTCAGATGCTGATGTGTTGTGTAGTTGCTCATCAGAGGCAAACCTGGGGTGATGAGGAACCCTCCATCAGGGAGCAGCTAGTAGTCCTTGTGTCCTATAGATGCTGCGAGTCCCCAGATCCTTTCCCAGCACTTCGAAGGCTGTTGTAGTCCCTATGAAAAGTGAGGAACAGCTACCCAGAGGAAGGGCAGCTAGCACTAGGCAGTCATCAGCTGCGTGGGCTGAGAGGTTTCTGGCCAGGAAAGGTGCCACAAATGTGCTTGAGAACACACAGTCTGGTGCAAACGCAGTGTCTTTTTATGCCTCGCTCCTTATCTACTATGTAGAAACAGCAGCATGGGCTTGCAGAAAAACAGAACTTTATGGATGCCTCGGGAAGTATCCTTTGCACTTACATGATCTTATAATGATGATGCAAGCAACTTTGTGTCTGTCTGATCCATAATCAGCCTTCCTCCCCTCAACTGTAAGGAGGAAATGAATGGATGCTCATGGGAAGTACAGCTGCCCAAGGAGCTATATTTAAGGAAAACTCTAGTTACAGTATCCAAAATAGTCTAACAGGTAAAGCACAGGAACTGGCTGTTCTCTGACACGCTGATCAGTGTTTCCAGTCCATGAATGATGTTCTTCTCCCTTTCATTAGCAGCTTAATTGCTCAGGATCCATTGGGTGATGTGAACTCAGGGCTCAACTCTGCTGTGCTGTGTGATCCTTCAAAGCGGACATTGGCAGGGTCGTTTCCATGCGGGTGACTGGCCTCTGGTTTTGAGAGTGCCTAGGACAGAAAGAACTGCCTTTCCCATGGTATGCAGGAAGGTTTTGTCTGTGTTATAAAAGAAAGGGGGAAGCTGGGATTCATGCTAAATCTAAATCCAAAGCATACAGACGAGCGCTCGGCTCTGTCCCTGTTTAGTAAAGCAGCTTAGCAAAAAGGAAGATTGTCCCAGCAATGATGGTAGGATTTAACCACGTGCCAGCATTTTGTCAGATAGGGAAGAGTTTAGGCACATGCTTATAGGCAAACATATTTAATTGTTTGGTTAGTTCAAAGACTGGGAAATGTTCCTGTGTGTGCCAAGTACAAGGGACAAAGTAGGAAATATCATCTCACAATTGCAGATCAATCCTATATAAAGAGTAACATGGACTATATGAACAAACTTCCTGGTCTGTATCTCACAGCAAATTACAAGTTGCAAGGGATTTGAGTGGAAATTAAATAGGACCGTTCCTAATTGAGATCACACAAAAGTTTGCAAGTAATTAATTTTAATTTCTTAATGATCTTCAAATTCTTCTTAATGCTGTGTCTGGAGTGAAAGGGTCTCAGTAAACCCAGCAGGATTTTCTGAGTGAGGACTGCAAGACTTGGCCTTTTCCAAAAGAGAGAACTTTATTGCACTGAAATTTTTCTTTCTGCCAGAGCAGGTAAACATTGGCTACATTGTCATAAGAAATCTCCCATTGCAGCCTGACCTTCTTTTTAGCGTTGGTAAAAAAAGAGTCACAGAGCCAATGCATAGTCCACAGGAGGAGGAAAAGGGTCTCTCCTGACCTGCACCTCCTTCTCTGGGTGTCCTAGGAGGCCCTGCTCAGCAGGCAGGAGAGGATTTAGGCAGGTATCAGCACCGGGGTGGGTGCAGGTGCTTTCCCACCCAGTGATCCAGGAAGTCTTTGCAGAGCTGGCAGATGCAGCTCCGGGGTGATTCAGTCCCTGGCTCTCCACCAGCCCAGCTGCTCCCCGTGCTGCGATGCTTCCGTCTTCATCCAAGCCCCACCGGTGCCCAGCTCCACTAGGGCAGAAGGGGTGGGTGCAGTGCACTGTGTTTTGCCATAGTTTACGACAGTTGTTTTACTGCAATTATTTACTACCACATCCCAGAAGCAATGGGATTGCCTGGCCGTGGCAGGGATGTGACCTGTTTTTGTGCAGGTTGCTTCTGTTAAAGCTGCCACCAGGATCCTCTCTGTCTGCTTCCATCTCTGCCATAAACTAAACACCCTCTGGCAGTGAAGCGGGGTTCATTGCTCCTGTCGGACGTGAGAGGGGTCTTCACAGGCCCTCAAGCTCACTTTCAAATGCAGATGGCTCTCTGTTCAGTACCTAACTCCCTGTCGGATGTCTAAATAAATGCAACTTATTTTTCAGACTATTTAGATTACTTTTAGCTACCCCAAATTGCAAATTTTGAGCAAACTGGATGTTTTTGCCAGTGGGAATTGCTCTGTACTGTCCAAGAGGGTAAGATAGAAGTGGCGTGTTTCTTGTAAGGAGGATGCAAGTGGTTCAGCCAGATGTGGGGAAAGGAAGAAAATCTACACCAACACTGCACAGAAATCTGCTCTTGCCCCTGGCTGCTGTGGAAAGCTAGGGGAGCAGTCAGCAAGGGTCCACGGGCAGTTGTGTGGGTGTATTTTTGATTAACTTTGGAAAAAATGCTAATTCTATTGCTTGACAGGAAAAGATGTGGGAGGCACACATTTGCTGCTATGGCGCACTTCCAATCACACTGACAAAAACCCCTCACCCACAGAAATACCCCCAGCAGCCAGCCTAGGAGAGGCAGCTCCAGTGAACAGAGCAGCAAAATGCAGATTTGAGGGATCATTTAAAGGGAGGCTCGTATGCATAACCCTCCTGTGTCCTGGCCATGCACCACTGCTTGCCCTGACCAGGTGCACTGGAAAAATCCAGGGCCTTTTGCATACTGGTGAAACCTCACAGCACTGAATTGGGCTATATGAGATAAAAACAGGACAGGGGCATTTTGATGCCCTTTGCCCTCCACATATAAAGCGTTAGGTAACAGAGCAGCAATGAATTTCATTGCTCTTGCGGCATTTCCCATAAGTTGCACTGTCGTGGTCATGTACTGAGTCACTCCTTGCGACCAGCCGCCTAAAAGGCATTTGGCTCCACACTGAGCAGTAGTAAAAGGCTTTAAAAATAGCAATAAATTGCAGTTAGAGAGAGGTGTTTGTGGAATTGTTTGTGCCAATAATTGTGAAGGTGGTTTGCCGGGACCTGAGTGAGCAGCAGAGCGGGTTTGGACATCGCTGCAGACACGCCAAGTGCTTCCTCAGAGCTTGTCTCTAATGCTGGTCAATGGCCGTGTCTGTTCCAAATCCAGCTGGACTTCTCATTCCCTCATAGTGATGTTTAATCTTTAGTTTTCTTCCTTAAATTAACAAGAACGGATGCATTTTACTTAAATGCTCTTCCTATGCTGACTAATGTTTTTTCCTCTTTACACACAAAGGACCTAATCCAGC